ACCATCACCAGGATCCACAACATTATCACCATCATCAATTGATTCATTTTCATCCATTGGTGATCCACCAAAATCACAAATACAACCATCACCATCACCATCACCACCGTCACCGCCACCGTCATCGTCATGGTCACCATCATCTGCAAGATCATCAGAATCATCATCATCACATGGTTCATCAAGTGCATCGTCTGATTCTTTAGCAAAATCTTTGTCAAAAAAAGCTCGACAACAACCACAACAAGCACCATCACCAGGATCCACAACATTATCACCATCATCAATTGATTCATTTTCATCCATTGGTGATCCACCACAATCACAAATACAACCATCACCATCACCATCAAAATCACCACCGTCACCGCCACCGTCATCGTCATGGTCACCATCATCTGCAAGATCATCAGAATCATCATCATCACATGGTTCATCAAGTGCATCGTCTGATTCTTTAGCAAAATCTTTGTCAAAAAAAGCTCGACAACAACNNNTTCATTTTCATCCATTGGTGATCCACCACAATCACAAATACAACCATCACCATCAAAATCACCACCGTCACCGCCACCGTCATCGTCATGGTCACCATCATCTGCAAGATCATCAGAATCATCATCATCACATGGTTCATCAAGTGCATCGTCTGATTCTTTAGCAAAATCTTTGTCAAAAAAAGCTCGACAACAACAACAAGTACCATCAGCAGGACCATCATCAATTGGTTCATTTTCATCCATTGGTGATCCACCTCAACGACAAATACAACAATCACCATTGTCATCGCCACCGTCACCGTCATTGTCACCGTCATGGTCACCATCATCTGCAGGATCATCAGGATCATCATCACATGGTTCATCCGTTCGTAAACAAAAACCATCTCGCTTATTAAGATCGGGAACTAAAGCTCAAAAATCGTCATCAAGAGCAACATACAAATTAAAATCATCATCACCATCGTCATCGTCGTCTGGATCATCACATGGTTCAGCATTTTCATCCATTCGTGATTCACCACAACCACAATTACAGGCACAGGCACAAGAACAATTTCAATTATCAAGAGCGGCAATTAACGCACAGCAATCATCACCACAATCGTCATCAAGACCATCACACTTATTACGATCGAGATCAAAACCATCATACTCATTACCATCGAGATCAAGACCATCATACTCATTACCATCATTATCATCATCGCTTGGTTCACCATTACCAACATCACCTGACTTATCACAACAACAACAACAACAACAACAACAATTACCGGTCAATTTATTTCAACAAAATCAAATAAACAATAATAATAATAATAATAGAAATTTATTAAATTTAGCAAATATAATGAATGATACAATACAAAATATGGATATCGATCCTGATATAAAATTTTAATATTTATTAAAAAAAATTGATGAATAAATACAAATAAAATTCAAAAATTCGTAAACAAATTGAACAAATTTCTATATCAAAAATCAATATATCTAATAAAATAAACATATAACGAAAAAAGCAGATGCTACGTTTACAAGGGGTAAACACCAGCCAGAGCAAGAATTCCAAAAAAAAAAGTTGACGATATCAAATATATCGAGTAAAACAAAACGATCATTGACAGTTTCAGCGTGCCGCTCAACCTTTGGTGTTTTGTTAGAATCTAATTTTGTAATTCCAAATATTTCATTTTTGAATATTCAATAAAATCATAAAAGTTTTTTTTTGTCCAATGGCCTAGGAATATCAAAAAAAAACATAATGAAATTAATATAAAATTATTTTGAAATGAATGATTTTTATTGATACAAGATTTTTTTTATTATAAAAGTTTTAGGTAGTTTAAGAAAAATTTTCAATTTTTTTTCGTCTTTGAATTTTGATTTAACAAAAATCAAAATTGAATCGATCATTATGAATGTTTACTTTTAATATGATTTTGAAGTGTATCTTTACGACGAAATCTTTGTTGACAATATTGACAACCGAATGGCTTTTTATCTGTATGAATAAGTTTATGACCATCAAGATTGTATTTCGATGCAAATGTTTTGTAACAAATATTACATTGATGTTTTATCTGTCCATTATTATCATCATCATCATCATTAGTGGTATGCATAAGGCGAATATGATAATTTAATTTTCTCTCTGAATAAAATCTATATTTACATCGATCACATTTGTATGGTCTTACAGGTGAATGAACACGATGAATATGTAACAGTAAATTATCATTTCTTTTTGTTGCATACTGACATTGATTACATTTGAATGGTTTATCAGTTGAATGTACAAGAAGATGTCTAATTAAAAGATGTCTTTTTGCAGTTACAAATTCACATGTATTACATTTATATGGTTTTGAATTTGAATCTTTCTGTTCTTGTTTTTCGGACAATGAAATAAAGAATTTCGAAAAATTCATTGATTGTTCCAAATGATCATCATTATTATTATCATTATCATTATCATTATTGATTGATTGATTAACATTCGATAAATGATTATTATGATGATCGATGATTTTATCCAATTTTTTTGTCCAATCATTGAATTTTGTTTCCATTCGATCTAATCGAGATAATATCATCATTTGATAATCATCATGATTATTATCATTAATAATTTTATCCAATTCGATATTTGGTGTTGTTCGTATCTAATGGAATAATAAAGATAATTAATGAATGAAATAAAAATCAAATAATTACCATTGAAATATTTGTTGGAAACGATAAAGAATTTTCGTTGTTGTTGTTTGAATTTAAATATTTAGCTTTGATTTCATCATATTTACCCTTTGGTAATGATTGAATAAATTTGATTAAATGATTTTCAATTTCATCCAATTCGATTAACTTTAAATTATTATTATCATCATCATTTAGTGATCGATTATCATTATCATCGATATCCATCGATAATAAACTAGATGAAAACATTTTTTGTTTTAGAAAATAGAAATACTTTTCAAAAACGAAAAACATCAAAATAAAGGAAAAACTCACAAAGTGTGGAAACCAGAAATACTATCAACAAAACAAAACAAATCGATCGTTTTATACAATGAAAGTTGAAAAATAAAAAACTTGATATTTTTTTTGGCAACGTATTAACCACCAAAAACAATTTTTTTTTTCATCATTAGCAAACATAAGGTCACTATAGTCATTGTCATCAACCTAACCTAACCTAACTGAACTATTATAAATCATATAGTTATAATCAAAAAACCAGGTTGTTCATTGAGATTAATTATTACTATTTTTAAAATTTTTTTTTTGATTTGTAATAATTAATTTAAAAAATTAATAATTAAAAATTTACGAAAATCTTTTTTTTTTATTTATTTGTTCGAAAGTCTAAGGAAATTACTTGATTGAATAATTTTTTATTTTTGGACAAAAAACAAGAATAGCTTGAATTTTCATATAAATTTCATTTTACCATTGATTAAAATTCTGTAATTTTTTTTATTTTTTATTTATTAATTTTTTTATTTGGTTTGTTTCTGAATTCCTCTGTTTTTAAATGTTTGGATTATCGTTTATAGTTAATTATAATAAACAAAAATGTTTACATTTGATGATGATTGGTGTTATTGTCACTTTCAAAAATATGTGGATGGTCAATGGTGAAAAATCATTCATATTGCGTGGTATTGAAGATAGAACCGAATGGGATATGGTACGATATCCGTATAAATCGGTTTATGGTCTACCGAAATCATTACAATGTAGTGATACAATTCAACATCAATTCAATGAATGTGAAAAATCATCACATCGAAAATGGAAAGTTACGATTGACGAATATGTAAGT